CACGCACACACACACACACACACACAAGATATTATATATATGTTTTTATATTTAAAATAAGTCATTTAAGTCGTATTCTATGTAGATACCTGTGCGTCAAAATTGCTTATATCAATTGAAATTTTTTATAAATAAATTTAAATGAATAATTTTATATTTTAATCTACTCTTATTTTTTTACGTATATCAAATATTTGCAACTATTAGGTACTGTTTATAAAACTTTGTATTCACGGTGTCGCTTGTTGCTCATATTTAGCGACAAACAAGTCACGTGAAATTGTACTTATATCATATAGCGCTGAATTCGATCGTCGCTTGTGTAAATGGGTAGCAGCGGTAAATTTTTTATTATACCTACAAGATTCGGTGCGTAATCGCTAAAAGTTCAGTTCAATTCAACTTTCTACGTTGTCGTTGGCGACAAAAAAAACAAATAAATTTCGATCACGTGACCACTCATCGCTGCGATAAGTGACACCATGAAATTGTACGTTAATGCATGGATATATAGTATCCGCCATTCGATTCATTCCCAAGTTCGTTGCGCCGCGTTTTTACGCTTTTCAATGCTGATCATCCCGCTGTCGTTTTTGCATCAGTGTCCGCCATTCGACTCGTTCCCGCGTTCGTGTTCATCGCGTCGCGTCTTACGACTTACAAAGCTCGTCCACGTTTCAGTTCGCCTTCTCGTCGCGTGCCGAGCAATGTCGCATCCTGTGACGGCATTTTGCGTTGCCGACTGAGCAGGGCTGTTACGATTTGGCCAGGGATATTGACAGAAACACACACTGATTTTCTCTGAGATGAAAAACTTTTATTCACGAACGTATAAACATTGTACCTCGTGTTTACAAGGTGAAAAGGATTCTGCCGAAGCAAGAAAACGGGCCAGTGCAACCAACATAACTGTCTTTCTAAATAAATGGCACCAACCTAAACCTAAACTAAAATAAGGATAATTTGCGAGAGATACGAATTTTCAAATCTTTATGGGCCCTGCCTAGTCAGCCACGAACTCCGCGTTGACCGTGGCGACGCTACATCGCGGTAGAAATTAGAAGCTTCATTGTCATATTAGGCTCGTTCTATGATATGTGATATTTCGATGTTATAAGTCATAAATCATGATAATTCTACAAAATATGTTGTATGTTGATATCGTAAGCAGTAAAAATTTATCAATCACAGTCGAATGTGAAGAGAATACTCGGTTTGAAGAGAATAATGGACCTACCGTGAAAAGTGTTGACGACAAATTTTGTCTTGCGTGTCATTTCATTATTATGTGCTTAATTGTGAAAATGTGACTTGTCTCGTATTTATCAAAGTCGTAAAAATGAGTGTAAACTATAGTTATTATGGAATTTTATACGTAAAAGTATCTTTTCCATTCTTTTTAACAGCTGTTAAATCGTGAGTTTTCTTGCCTGAATAAGCTTCATTTTACGTACTTTTACGACTATTTACTGACTTCAGGGGGGAAAATGATAGTTTACACCCATTTTTACAAGTTTCCTAAAGCGATCCTATTTATTAATTTTATCCAAATCCTCTTTAAAAATAGCACGCAAGAAACTTTTATGTGTCATTTCTCGCTGTTTCTCGCTTCTGATGTCACAAGTCCAATATGGCTGCGGTGATTAGGCAGGACCCTTAACACTCCCACGAAATGAGTATCTTCTTCATCCAAAAAAAATACTTCTAGTTATAACCTAAATACAATAGAACCTTAAAACAAAAATAACAAAAAAGAATCTGCTTTGGTATATAGCTTGAAGGTTTGTAGCCTAGCATCACCCTTTTCTCTAATTCAATTCTGGGAAAATACCTTAATACAAATATCACTTAATTGTGACTCATTGGATATATATAGTACGTTCTTAGCTTGATATTTTTCTTTCACGAAGTTATATCTTATCTCAATATGTTTAGAGCGCTTGTGATTATAGTATTTATAAAGCTAATTGCACTTTCATTGTCCAAATACAGTGTGTGTTAAAGGATTAACGAGACAAATTTATATAAAAAATTAGTAAGTATCCTAATGGCTTACAAGGGTCCCTCACAAACTGCACAATAGCTACAGCACAGAGAAAATTATCCAAGCATCTTGACTCTCTTTGGATCACTTTCCACCCAAAAACTAGACCGGAAATAAAATAAATATAAATAATAAAATAAAAAATTAATAAAAAATAATAAAATAAATTTTATTTTTTTTCTAATTTTTTGATAAATTATCCAAGCATCTTGACTCCGTTTGAATCACTTTCCACCCAAAAACTAGACCGGAAATAAAATAAATATAAATAATGAAATAATAAAATAAATAAAAAATAATAAAATAAATTTTATTTCTTTTTAATTTTTCGATGCTTGTCGTAGGGAAAA